TACAGTGGACCCTTGACTTACAGACGGCTTGACTTACAGACTTTTTGAGTTACAGACTTCTCTGGCTGCAAAATTTAGGTTGGACTTGCAGCCTGAGAATTGACTTACAGACCAGAAAAAACCAAAATGGAACAAAAATGGCCTGTTACGGGATTAATCGGTTTTCAATGCACTGTAGGTCAATGGAGACTTGACCTACAGACTTTTTGACTTGAGAACTGCCTTCCAATACGGATTAAGTTCTCAAGTCAAGACCCCACTGTACAGTACTCAAGCAGTCTTTCGGTTAGCACCTATTTCAGGATTCAGACCTACTTTGCATTAATATAATATTGTTTTCAAGGAAATGCCCTAAGGATTGATTCCCAAGGAGGCAGGCATGTTAGCGTGTTGTAGCAAAAGCAACATAGATTCTTGTGGAGTCTTTAAGCCTGCTAAGTTTGATTTGACATGTTCAGTAAGGAAGGCACAGGTTTATAGGTTCGCCGCCTAGAGTGGTCAATATGACCAGATAGGCGGGGTATAAATGGAATAAATAAATAAATTAGGCAGGCTGCTTCTGCAGGGGTGGGGCCAGAATAAAGCATGATACAGAAAAAGGACAGTTTTGTATTATTGATGGTGATCAAAAATGTGCAAAGGGCGGATTAGTAGAAACATCCCTAAAGTCAGCTGTACAAGTTGATGACCTTCTAAGGGGTTAAAGCAATGGTTTCTGATTTCAAAAGTGTATTTTAACTGAAGCCAATTCTGACCTGCTTTGCAGTAGGATAAATAATACAGACAAACCCACATGGATGAGCCGTTTAATGTATGTAATACGATTTTTTAAAAAAAATAAAAATCTCCGAGTGCTGTTCAGGTTGAGAGAAAGTTCAACCTCTTGATGTATTCTTGTTCAGCTGTTTTCAGAAAAAGAAATAAGAAGTCACTTCCGGCTTCAGCTGAAATCCTGTGTTGGAAGCAGAATGCACTTCTTTTAACACCTTCAGGGGTAATTGACTTGTGTTAACTGAGCATACAAATGCCAGGGTGTTTATGCTACCCTACTCTTTGGAGGTTTATAGCCACTTTTAATAATACAGTACAGCTATTATCCTCTGCCTTCCATCTCATTCTTTGTTCTCTCCTCCTAACCAGAGGCCTGTAAAGCTGTATTTTCTCTGTCTGAAGGAGTGAGCTATATATCTGCGGGGGAAAAAAAGCTCACGCCACATCCGCCCTGTCAGTCTTATAGGCACCACAGGACAATGGATGGCTATTTTTAGGAGCACAATTCTGTCACTTGGTTGCAGTAAAAAATACAGAGGCTCTTGTGACATCTCTGAAGACGTAACACCTTCCATTTCACAAGAGCTTTTGTGGAAGTAGCCTGCTTCTGCAGATGTTGGGGGGGGCTTTCCTAATTAACAGATGAGGATGCCCCTGATACCATCATGTGTAGACAAAATAGAACTTAACACGGCGGTTTGCGGCCTTCGGCCTCTCAAATGCTCTGGGCTTCAGTTCACAGAATTCTGACCATTGACCACAAAAGCGAGAGATTCTGAGAGCCGGTGGCCTGGACATCAGGAGCATCAAAAGTCTCTCATGTGTAGACAAAATAGAACTTAACACGGTGGTTTGCGGCCTTTGGCCTCTCAAATGCTGTGGGCTTCAGTTCACAGAATTCTGACCGTTGACCACGCCTGGACATCAGGAGCATCAAAAGTCTCTGGCCTTGGCAGATGACCTCTGTCTGTCTCTAATTAATCCCAATTTAATTAGCCAGTTCTGTGCAATACTTTTTTTTTTTTAAGGACGGAGGTGGTGGGGTCCGTTGCAAGAAAAATATACCATTGCATCTTACACATTGTCACTGTTTTCAGGGCTTGAACATCTTTCAACTATGATGACTTAGTCCGCTGTCCTAAACGCTTATGGTAAATAGGACCGGCCAGTGTTTTAAAAAGGGAAAAAGCGTGCCACTTCTGTACCTCCCTATAGCTCTTCAAGCACTCTCTGTGTGGTTTACAATGCAGTTATCCAGGTTACACATTGCTCCCCCCCCCCCAGCAAGCTTGGTACCCAATTTACCAATCTTGGAAGATTGAATCAACCCTGGGCAGATTACCTCGGATTGAACCCAGGTTGCGAGCAGAGTTTCGGCTGCAGTACTGCCATTTAACCGCTGCACCAGGAAGCTCTTAATTGTTATGGGGAAAAGGCATTAATTACAGAGGTATCCCTTTCATGGCTTCTGAATACTTCTGGGAAATTTCTGTTTTGAAAATCTCTCTTTCCTAGAGACGGAGTGGCTGGTTGTGAGACCAAGATGGCAAGTCATTGTTCTGCTGATGGTCCGTCTGTACCTGAGCAGCCGACGGCTGCCACAAGTGGCGTATCGCAGGTAAGTTCTTGTTTCTTGTGCTGGACATTATCTTGTGGTGGTGAGTTCCCCAGAGTCCGAATATTACTCGGGGTTAGTTGAGATGTGTAACTTGTGGTTTTTTTAGTTACTTTTTTTGGTAGCTGGAGAAGAGATGCCCAGGTGTCTGGGAAGCCCAGTCTCACCCCGCCAAACTGACCCGTCCACCTAGGGGTCACCATGTGGTGTCTGCGGCCAGCGTCCTGCTTGTCAGACCAATCTCGGACACATCCCGGCTAGCTCTCTGCCTCCCTGGACCGTTAGCACTCCAGCCAGGGAGCAAGATGACAGCTCTCCCCACTCAGCTGCTGAACGACCAACATCACAGGGAGGTGGAGATGTGCTAGCCAGGCCGTGTCGAAAATTGGCACGATATGCAGGAGCCATAAGTGGGCGATTCATTTTGGGGAGGAGAGACTGGGCTTCCCAGCCCCCTGGATCCAGGATATACATCTACGAATATGAATATCCCATCTCCAAGGGGAAGCAAGAGACAAAATTATAAATAAATTGCTTATCATTTAAGTCATTCAATTTATACCCCATATTCCTTCTATTAAGGTAATGGCCCATGGCTCTTCCCCACTCCCCACTTTATTCTTGCAACAACCCTACAAGGTAGGCTGGCACTGATGGGTGAAGCAAGCAGTGGGGGGGGACACACGACTCCAAAATGTTGCAGTGAAAGTTGTTTATTGGCTGTGTTGTGCAATTGGTCCAAAGTTGGCCACTGAGTTCCCTGAGCAGGGGAACTGAAGCCAGGCCTCCAAAATCCTCGGCTGGTAATCATCGGTGCCCTCTCTTCTTCTGCAGGAAGACATGCCGGGTGCCAGCACCAGCCTCCTGGATGCTGAGGCTCCCAGCATGATTCGGACCCCCCTGCGGAGTCAGCAAGAGAAGGGGTCCATAGAAGAGAGACTCAAGGTGTTCTGCTACCTGCCCAAGAGGCGGGAACCTCTAGGCTGTTACCTGTCCAGGTCTATCCCTTCCAAAGTCGACAGCTTCCGTAAGAAGATGCCCACGGAGACGAGCCAGGACTGACCCTTTTCCCGCTGCCCGGATGGATGGTGTATGTATGGGTGTTTCTTTCCATTGGTCTTGGTAACTCTGCTTTTCTACCCAAAGAGAGACACTTAAGGAGGCGAATAATAAAACGTATGCTAAAATGGGGAGTAGTTATCAGTTACATTTCTGGCCCTTCTTTCTGCAGGTGACGTTAAGGCCATGTAGCTCACTTTTCTCCTTTTATCAGCACAACAACCTTGCGGGGGAGGCCAGGTCGAAAGGGCGTGCGAATAGCCCAAAAACAGCCATTGAGTTTCATGGGCACCTGGATTTCCTAAGTCCTTTCCCAACACTTTCACCATGACATCCTCTGGCCTCTTAAAAACAAAATTTAAATGATTGAAGATGTAGAACTAACAAGAGTCAAAAACTGTAAAAAGCCCAACATGCTACAAAACAATGGGTGTTCGCCAAACTGGTGAAACCTTCTTCCCCAGTGAGAAATTTATTCCTGCTCCACACAAGTCTTTTGAGCTTTCTCAATTAAATAAATAACTACCCCCCTCAAAAAAAAACACGATGCCTGTGAAGAAATTACTATATTGATCTTTATCTTGAAAGGTCAGTTTATTTCACTGCCCTTTTCAAGAAGTGTCTCCTTGCCATAAATTATTATGTTGAGTAGCAATTTTGCTCGGCTACTACAGAGGCAAGTGGTTTCTGTCCCCCCCCCCGCCTTCAATTTCTCAAAAGGCATTGATGCAAGCTGAAAAAGAGTATATGATTTTAATAGCAGTGCTGCCATGCTCCTACGTTGTTATGTCCTGTCACGTTGCCTCCCGACCGACCCTATGAATGAGCGATTTCCAAATTACACGAGTCTAGTTTTTTTTTCCTTCTCCTCTTTTCGCCTGGCTGTTGCTTCAACACATTGTAAACAACTAATTTATATACCAAGTGGCGTGAAGATGGGGAAAAGATTTAAACTTGACAGGCTGAATAAATGGTTGCTAATTATGGGTAACTCTGTACTGAGTCTTGTTTGAACCCCTGCTTTATATATATATGCTGAGGTTTGCGTTCGTTGTGAATAAGCAAATTAGGGAGTGCTAATGTTGGTGCCAATCTGTTGCAAAACCAATCAACACTGATCTAAAGGCTGTTAAAATCATTTTTTTTCGGGAGCAAACCAGGGCTTAATGGTTCATTGAGCAACAGTGTAGATGTTCCCAGGATTGGATGTTGTGGGTCATAGGATGGGAAAGATGGAAAGCTTGTGATGAATTGCAATCGGTTTTATCTTTTTGGATTTCTTTCTCTCTCTCTCTCTTTTTTTCTTTTTTCTTAACAATTAAGTAACATCAGTAAATCAAGGGGGCAAGCCGCATACTCAGAAGGTTTGGGAAGAGCAGTCGAGCTGGAACTAAAACAATGTGCCACATGTCGGAGAAAGATGATCTATCAAGTTTAAAACGTTCAGGAAATTATAAAAATATTTTATTATTTCATTCAATTAATTATTATCTCATCGCTTAAGTTCAGTGGTGTAGGTTTCTGGCTGCGGAGCCAGAATTTGGGACTTCGATTCCCTTCTTTACCTCCAGGGAGAAGAGCCAGCCTGGGTGGCCTTGGGCAAGCTGAGCAGTCCCAGGGCACCCACAAATTAAGGGAAGGGGAAACCCATTCCTGAGTACTCGCTACCTGGAAAAACCATAAGTCAGAACTGACTTGACGGCATATGACTATTATATATTATTAAAATTATTAGAAATAGCGAGCCATGATTTCAAGTAAAAAGAATCATTTGTTGCTGTCATTTTATGCTTTTTAGGTTGCCCTGGGTGGCCTTGGGCAAGCTGAGCAGTCCCAGGGCACCCACAAATTAAGGGAAGGGGAAACCCATTCCTGAGTACTCGCTACCTGGAAAAACCATAAGTCAGAACTGACTTGACGGCATATGACTATTATATATTATTAAAATGATTAGAAATAGCGAGCCATGATTTCAAGTAAAAAGAATCATTTGTTGCTGTCATTTTGTGCTTTCATGTTACCTCTGATTTATGGTAACCCTATGAATCAATGACCTCCTCTTCTCAACAGCCCTGCTGAGTTCTTGCAAACTCAAGACTGTGGTTTCCTTTAGGAAGTCAGTCCATGTCATATTTGATCCTCCTCTTTTCCTGCTGCCTTCAAGACCCATTTATTGTTGTCATTTACACTTAAAATTCCTGCATAAGTTTAACTGATTTAAATGAGCTTGATCTACTTGCGACTTTCTTTCAGTCAATCATTTGCTACGAAAGTAGGCACATTTCAGCCAATTAAACTTATGGAAGAGCTAGGAAGTCAGTCCATGTCATATTTGATCCTCCTCTTTTCCTGCTGCCTTCAAGACCCATTTATTGTTGTCATTTACACTTAAAATTCCTGCATAAGTTTAACTGATTTAAATGAGCCTAATCTACTTGCGACTTTCTTTCAGTCAATCATTTGCTACGAAAGTAGGCACATTTCAGTCAATTAAACTTATGGAAGAGCTGGCTTATCAAATCCCCTGTTACTGCAGCTAAAACTGTGCTCACGACCTGGGGTTCAAATCCCAGGTAGCCGGCTCAAGGTTGACTCAGCCTTCTATCCTTCCGAGGTCGGTAAAATGAGTACCCAGCTCGCTGGGGGAGCAATGTGTAGCTGCATAATTAAATTGTAAACCGCCCAGAGAGTGCTTGAAGCACTATGGGGCGGTATATAAGCAGCACGCTTTGCTTTTTTGCTTTATCAAATCCCCTGTTATTCCATTGATTCAGTGGGCCCACTCTAGTTGAGACTAGCTATGCTAACCGAAACCACTGTGTTCTAAAGTGGGATCAGGGGAAAATGTAACTTGAGATTCCTGGGTGATCTGTACTGTGTCAGAATGATACCCACCCACTCCGACCACATCAGATGTGCCAGTTTAGCAGCGTCCCATTGTCTTGACATTTCAGAGCCAACGTCTGAGACCTCGAAAATAAACCCCAAAGTAGAGTCTGAAAGTGATCTCCATTTGTGTATGTTATTTGCCAACATGTCAGAACTGATGCGGAGTGACCCTAATAAGGTTTTTCAAGATAAAGGAGGTATTTAAGGAGTGATTTTACCAGTTCCTGCCAACCTAGCAGTCCGAAAGCATGCAAATGCAAGTAGATAAATAGGTACCACCTCAGTAGGAAGGTAATGGCTTTCCGTGTCTAGTCGAACTCGAGTGATTTTACCAGTTCCTGCCAACCTAGCAGTCCGAAAGCATGCAAATGCAAATAGATAAATAGGTACCACCTTGGTAGGGAGGTAATGGTGTTCTGTGTCTAGCCGCACTGACCATGGAAACTGTCTTTGGACAAATGCTGGCTGTATGGCTTGGAAACGGGGATGAGCACCGCGCCCTAGAGTTGGACACGACTGGACTCAATGTCAAGGGGAATCTTTACCTTTACCAGTTCCACTTCCCCCCATAGGTTCCCATGGCTTTGAACCCAGGTCTCCTTGATTCTTAGTCCATGCGCTATACCATGCTGGGTCAAAGATCGTCAAGATTAGAATAAGACGGTGAAGGATTGGCCCTAATTAATACAGGTTGTCTTCCAAAAAGCTGGAACTTGTTTGTATCTGAGTGTCAACATGCACCGACACACTGTTCTGTCTTTTTGTTCCTTAAGGTGAAGTGGCTTAGGGGGACGTTTCTCCATTCATGGAGCAAGGCTCCACTGTTTTGCTGGTGGATCCAGAGACTGCTGCTTGCAACTCCTGCCACTGCTGTGTTGTGAGCAAAGGATGATGACCAGGTTGCGGTTGTGTGCTCTGTGTCTCTATCCATCCTCAGGATCTGCTCTTCTTAAAAAGAAATCAAGACTAATCGTAAAGGCACATGTGTTCACGTCAGAGGAAGGTGTTAAGGCGATACGGCTTCTGCTATATGAAACTCCTCTTTGTCTCAAGCGTCAGTGTTTATTTTTGTAATAAAGGATGTTAAACCTCTATGAGGAGTATGTTTAAACTTTTCTCTGTTGTTTCTGATAAGAAAAATTAACTGCTGTATTTGATTAGGTTTTTATGCCATCTTCAGGGACAATCATCAGCATGATAACTGAAACAAATTACTGCACTCTCTTCTTACTTTTGAAAAAAAACACACCACGCCCTAAAATGCTTATTTAAAAAAAATTTCAGAATTCTGCAAGCTACCATTGCACGAGCAACTTTTTTGTAAGTGCAAAAGAAATTAACACCACTTAGATTAAAGAAATGTGCTGATCTTTATTAGTCAACAATTATTAGTAACTTGGTTTTTGGCTGAGTGATGGCAGGAAAGAATTCATTCTGAGTAACTTTTCATTTGTAATGTGTTCCTTTGAAGCTGTGGGGCTCAACTTAGAGCTGGACAGAGTGAGGCAACACTTTTTGGTGTCAATACTGAATATTTGCCATTTGATTCCTTTTGTTGGATGATGGGAACTCCAAGCCCAAAGCCCGTCTCCTATCTCTCCGTTGGGGGGCTACCTTTGAATGCAGCGGAAGATGATGCCCAGGCAGTAATACCGTTCCTCCTGTGAACCTAGTCTGTTTAGCCATGTTAGTGGCGAGTAGTTGTGGCCATTTGTATTTTCTTCACTGTGGGCTTGCACAGAATGGCCCAAATCTTGACCTGTGGGAAAGAGATCAGCAGGAATCACACGGATGTTCACTTCTAGGTTTTGGGGGGAAAGCTGGGTTTCTCCCCCTCAAGTGAAATAGTGCGAGGAGAACCTCCAGATTTTTGGACCCACAATTCTTGCTGGGCATGTCTGATGTGAGCTACAATTCCCAGAGATCTGGGGTCTAGATTTCCATACCCTAATGTAGCAACAGATTGTTAAGAAGGCCTATACTATATATACACTAACTTTCTCCTGTGCAAAACTGCAAATATTTCCCTATACCTATTTAAAAAGCAGTAAGGCTTAAAACAAAGAACATGACAAGGGGGAAGATGAAGTTGGAAGAATCCTCAAAATTTTAACTACCCTAACCATTTAACACCTCTGTCCATTGAGGACCTTTGTGGGGTTTATCATTACAGGTCCCTTATTATGCCCCCCCCCAGTATAGTAATCAGTGTGTAGGTGCAGGTGGCCACCATTTCCAGTCTTCATCCTAAGAGTCTTGGCCAGTCCATAAGAACAGATGGGGAACAGGTGTTTTGCAAAGCTAACAGCTCTTCATGGCGCATCCCAGGCCCACAAACACTGGGCGACATCCTAAGAAGGACAGCTTGAAACAATATCCTGCTGTGGAGAAAAATCCATTTATACTGTATATGGCTCAGGCAGTCTCCCCGTTACAACCCTGGCGCGATGACGTCACAATATTTACAATGACGTCACAGGCCCATTTCTGTGGGACCGGGGAGGGGGCGGAAGGAAAATGAAACTCTCCTCCCCCACCCCACTTTGGGAGCGCACGTGGGGAGGGGGGGAAGGCAGGAGGGGGGGAAAAGGGAGGATTAAGTACTTCCGGTGCATTCAAAGAGGTAACCCGGAAGCGCTTCCTCGCGGCGTTCCGAGCGGGAAGATGGCGGCAGAGGAACCTCAGCAGCAGCCGGAGCCCCTCGGTGGGGATACAGATGGTAAATTGAGGAAAGGGGGGGTCTGGGTGCACCTGGAAGGGGGGGAATCCCTCCGCCCGGTGTGGAAAGACCTCGTTTTTATCTTTCTTTTCCTCATGGCTACCCCCTCGTTCCGGCTTGGGGGGGGGGCGTTGGTCTCCATGGGAACGGTGCTGTCCGGCCACTATTTCCCCCCCCCTCAGCGCTTCCTACTTTGAGGAGACACGCGGGTCCCCTCACACACACACACACGCTAGGCCTCGCGGTCTCCTTGGTAACGGCGCCCTCGCGCTCCTGGGGCGGCGTTGGACACCCCCCTCCACTCCGCCCGGGGTTCCCATGACAACGGCGCCCCCCCCTCCCCTCCTTGGGCCCCCTCTTCGCTTCCCCTTTAAAGGACGAGGGAAGGGCGCCGGGCCTTTCCCTCCCCACAGGCCGCAGCCCCACGGTTTCTATGGGGACCCCTCCCCCTCTCTCCCTCCCCCAGAAGAAGCACCTGAGGAGAAATTGGGGGGAAAGCTTCCCTTTTGAAGGGCGGAGGAAGAAGAAGCAACGCTCTCCCTTTTCGTTTTCCCCCTTCCTGAGGGAGCCTCACGGTTGAAATCCAGGTTAACTTATTACTATTTTTAACCCGTGATTTTGGTAGCTGCTTTTTTTACAGCACCATGACTGTACGTTTTTTTTTTTAAAAAAATCCAGAATAATTCCTCAGATGCTGCAGTGAAAAAAAATTACAGAAAGATGGACATGTGGCTTTGTTTTAGGAGAAGAATTATGGTAAAAAGGAAAAAAAAAACAGCCACCTTTAAATGCCCTGCGTTATAGGCCAGCCTTCCTCCACGTGGTGCTCAAGAGATGTGTTAAGCAGCAATCATCAGTGGTTAGACCACCAGTGATTTCTCAGGTGGACAAAATTTGTTGTCCTCAACTGGCCTCGTGATAATCAGTGAATGAAGTGCAATTGGTAAGGACTTGGGGGCTGCAAAATCCAAGACCTGTGATATATTTCTGTCCTTCTGCTGTTGATGTTTCTTGCTTATATTGTTCCTCAGTTTTCCTTCATCGACTGGGCTTAATTTTAGAGCTTCTAGTAAGAGAGGACATCCCAGTCCAGTGGTAACAGACTTTCCGAGAAGAATGTTGTAGCACCTTAAAGAAAAAGAGATTTATTGTGGCAAATGCTTTTTGCTTATTCTTGATGCATCTGGTAATGTGGGCCCAGAACCAGGAAGCAATTCATTTCATCTGTTTTTAAAAAAAATGATATTCTTCTTCTCTTTTTTCCCTTTAAGTAGGAGCTGAAGTAAAACTCATTCTAGCACTTACCAGAAGGTTTGTGGCATTTCTGAAGAAAACATGAAGTTTATATACATGATCAGATACGTACTTTATCAGGCACAGGTGTGGAGATAGTGTAGGGGTAGTTGCCTGTCAATGCATCTATTTCAGCAAGATCATTGTAGGTCATAAAACACTCAAGTGGATTTCTTTTTTTAAAAAATCAGTCTAAAAAAGAGCTTTAAGATGTTTTCTAATTATCAATATGCATGTCATAATACACTTAAAAAGGTGGTCATCAAATTTGGTTGAACAGGAGATATGGGAAAGAGAACAAATAGAAGAAGAAATGAAATGTAATGTACTTTAATGAGCCTTATAATGCAGTGGTTAAATTGCAGTACGGCACTGAAGAGTCTGCTCACGATCTAAAAAAGAGCTTTAAGATGTTTTCTAATTATCAATATGCATGTCATAATACACTTAAAAAGGTGGTCATCAAATTTGGTTGAACAGGAGATATGGGAAAGAGAACAAATAGAAGAAGAAATGAAATGTAATGTACTTTAATGAGCCTTATAATGCAGTGGTTAAATTGCAGTACTGCACTGAAGAGTCTGCTCACGGCCAGAGTACGATGGTGGGCTCAGGTAGTTGACTCAACCTTCCGCCCTTCTGAGATTGATAAATTGAGTATCCAGGTTTGGGGGGGGGTTGCAATGTGTAGCTTGCACAATTAAATTATAAACTGTCTGGAGATAGCTTTAAGCACTGTGGGCAGTATATATGCAGCACACTTTGCTTCAGTGATATATCTTAGGCAAAAGTTGAAGTTGAGAACCAAGATACTAAACCAAAGGTTTCAAATACTGGTTCTACTGATAAGGCTTAACGAGGGAACACGGGCAAAGAGGTTTATCAAGCAGGAGTCTCTAAGGCTGGCAGAACTCGTTTTCTGCCAGGTCCTACCCAACCCAACAGAGCTGCTATCACATTTTTGACCCTTTCTAGCTTTAAAGGCTACTTTATGGCAAGCAGAACTATAAAAGGTAAAGCCTTGCCCCACATTTTTATACCATTCATGAAAAAAGATTTACCTGCTTGTTTTCAGCAAGGATATGCCATAGCCAATTAGCAAATCATTCATTTGCCACAAAATTCCCTGTTGCTGTTGTTCTGGGTGGTGAGGAGTTCACAACATTAGTGGCAAACAAAATGCACACAAAAAAGATGATTCCCAGTGTTCCTCCCTAGGTTACACAAACATTGACTTTCCCGCTCCATACGCATGTGTGCCCTCTATTAGAATATCCGGGCATCTTGTTTCTTCCCTGCTTCATACTCCTCCATACATTTTGAAACTTTAGAGATTAAAACCACATGACTTCTGTGAAGACTTCTACACTTCTGTCTTCCCACACTCTTGCCCCCAGGATTTATGGAAATCTGAACAGCTTGAACTTCCAAGAAGAATCTTGTCTTTGTCTATATTTTTCCATCTATAAAATCCTTCTCAACTCTTTTCTCCTTTTCTGTTCTGTGGAAAGGATTTCCTTCTTGAAACTGGCTTGAGAATGCTTTTTCCCTCAGAAAAAAATCCCTGTAGATTTTTTTAATATATACTTCCACCTAGGTTGCAACTCCTCTGCACCGAATACTCTTTGATATATGTGCCATTGTTGTCCCTTGGCTTATGCCCTCTTTGCTTGTTGACAGTGTGGTTTGTTGTATTTGCATAGCAGTGAAGTATTAAAAGAAGGGATCCTTCCCAATGAAAACATCAGTGCCTCTATTGAGCCACATTAACATGCCAGTAGGACCAAGGCCTGGAGACAATCCAGTGCCTTTAAAAAACCTTACAACGATTTTGTTTGCTATGGATTTGTTACATTTAATTGTGCCTTTCCTCTTATGAGCTCAAAAGTATCCCAAAGGCTGTTCTCTTTCTAACTTTTTTTTCTGATAAGATAGGTCAGGATGAGGAAAAGGTTGACTGATCCAGGGTGGATAAGTGGGATCTAGGTCCTATATTTCCAAAGTCTTGGCCCACCTTCTTAATCCCTCCATTGTACTGGCGCTCTACTCATGATTTAAGCAGGTCATTTGCTCTGTTTGAGATTAGAATCTGACTCTGTTGACTATCTTCTGGCAGGCTTTTTATTAATATTAAAAGTATTTTAGGTGCTTATACAACAGAACCAGGTATTGATTCAGTTGAATTTACTGCAGGCCTTGGTGTCTCCACAGGAGGAGTCATTTGGAAGAGAACGCCAGGGTGTGGGCTGACTGGGCGCCCTATTTAATTCCGTACTTCTTTGAGCTTTCTCTGTATGGGTTTCCTGAGGGAGATACTCTGAAGACTGAGCATGGTTAGGCTTGAGAAAAGAAGACTGAGTTGAGATATGATAGCATTTTTCAGATACTTGAAAGATAGTCATCCAGAGGAGGGGCAGAATCTGTTCTCAACCATCCCAGAGTGCAGGACACATCATAATGGGCTCAAGTTACGAAAAGCCAGATTTGAGTTGAATATCACGAAAAAGTTACTGACTGTTAGAGCGGGATGACAATGGAGCCAGTTACCTCAGGAGGTAGTGAATGCTTCAGTGATGGAGGAATTCAAGAGGAAGGTAGACATCCATCTATTCAATATACTTTGATTTGGATCCCTGCCTTGAGCGGGGAGTTGGACAGACTCAGTGGTCTTATAGGCACTTATTCGATTATTCGGTAATTGGAGGAAAAGAATTTGTGTTCCGTGTTCCTTAGTACATTCTTCGTGCGGTTTCTGAAGTAACAATTGATCTGAGCCAGGTTGCCAAATAGTTTTGCTCCTGTGCTTTAAAGGAGTTCTTGGCACATGATAGCCAAACTTTGCACCTCATTCCATTTCCACTCCAAGAAGAGGTTCCTCTGCTAAATCTGCCTGCTGGGAACGGTGTTGTGGAAGCATGATGATAATCCCTAGGTAGAGGGTAGTTTTCCAGTAGTGTAGGTTCTGCCTGTGGTGTTTACTGCTTCTGCGTTTGGTGATTGTCCCGGGTTAAAGCTGTGTGTATCCAGGAGATGTAAGGGCCCCCACCTCTCCAACCCCCCACCAAACAATAAATAGATAGTGGTTAGCTTTTTTCCCCTCCAAGTCTAAAAATACTTGTCTGTTCTTCTCTGCTGTTGTGCTGGTTTGCCACCAGAGTTTGCAGTGTCATTCATTTGACCTGTTTTGCAAATATGTCTTGTCTTAAATTATAGTTCATTTAATGCATCTTTAGTCAAGAATCAGAATTGACTGTTCATTGGTCCAGATTTAGAGGAAAGCTCCTTGGCGGAGTGGGGGGTGGGGGGTAGGAAGGACTTTGTTCATCTTTGCCACTCTTCAGTTTCCTGAGAAGGGGAGGGGAAGCCCGGAAGGCTGCAAGCCCGCAGTCCCGACTGCAGGGGGAAAAAAAGGGGGTTTGCGATGGTCTGATTCTTGCCTCACTGCAGTCGCATCCCGGCAGGCTGAGAGTCAGGGCATCCCCGTGCTGGCGATGATGTATGATATGGAACAGCCCCAGGTTGGGTTTCTCTGTTCTCTGCAGCATTGGCGGCTGCTGTGAGCAGAGGATGCCCGAAGGAGCCTAGAGGAACGGGATCCGGGGCCGTGTTGCAAAAGCAGATAAACTTTCACGTGGGCTGTAATTTGACAGTGGGGGGGGGGAGCGGGCGGGGAAACGGGAGGGCAGCCAGCGTTTTGGTGTTTATGGTGGCGGGATCTGGATTTTCCGATGGATGCCCCCCTGGTGCCTGGGTGCAGGAGGGTGTCGGCAAGGCATGTTGTAAAAGCACTCTACCCGACGCAGCTTGTTTTGCTCATCCGGCGGGGATGGGCCTCTTGCTCAGCCCTCGGAGCTCAGTGTCGTAGAGGGGGCTGCAGGCCCCAGAGTTGCCGTGGAGGTGTGTGTGATTTTGTTTATTTGAGTGCATGTGTGTGTGTGTGAGAGAGAGCACACTTAGAGTTGATAGTGAACCAGTGTTCTGGGACTGTCGTTTATTGAAGGTTAATTCGTGAACGATGTTTTGTGTCCATGGTTGTAAGAATATTTTATGGTGCAAAAAAGAAAAGCTAGGATGTGGTAGTTAAAGCTTAGGGCTGGGATTTGGGAAATCCATTTCCATTATCCCTCATAAAGGTATGAACTCCGCTGGCTGACCTTGGGCCAGCCATCCTTTCTTGGCTTGATCTACCTTGCAGGATTCTTGTCAGGATAAAAGAAGGACCCGGTGCCTTCTCCCGAGGTCCGTGAAGGAATGTTTGTGGGCCAGACAGACATGTAAATAATGAAATAGATAAACAGTAAAACTTCACATACAAACTCCAGAATCCATTAGAGCTAAAAATTCTCAAAGTTCTGCGCCTCTCTCTCTCTCTCATTGTTATTTTGCTCTTTAAAGGACCGAGAGAGTTGCGGTTAAATTCTTATGCTTGACTGACGATGGGTTTATTTTCATTTTGTCTTGAGCCCGGCTCAGCTCCTTACTTTTAAACTCTGGGAGATCATTGTAGACACTATTGAGACCAACCCAGTGTGACCTTTCTCAATGGCATTGTTCTCTTCTCTTTCAGGAGTGAATTGCTTGGCCTACGATGAAGCTATAATGGCCCAGCAGGATAGAATTCAGCAGGAGGTGAGCTCTCAGAAACACAGAGGTTGGCTTGCTTTGTGTTCTGCTGCGTGTTGCTGGCAAGGGACTGCCAAAATACCAGCTCTTTCTTCAAAATTTGCAAAGATCCAGAAAAAAAGTGTACAGATGCCCTAGACCTCATTGTATTCCCTGTGTTGTCCTATCCTAGTGTCAGTCCAGAAAGCCCTCCTAATTCGTGGTGTGACTGTGCCCATAATTCCTTAGCTATGACAGCCGTTCTTAAAACTAAGGGATTAAAGAAATCTTGGTGTTTTGGGTGTCTTGCAACCGACTTCATCGGACTGTGGTGCCCCTGGAAGAACATTGCGTCCTGTCGGGCCCTCAAGGCCTTCCTGTGACCTTGCAAGTCAGGCCCTTCTCCCTTCCTTTGGCGGGGTGAAGATATTAAGCCTGGTCTTAAAGTAGTTTTTTTTTAAAATAAGTTTTATTGGTGACAAAAGATTTAAAATTTACAAGTCAATTTTTTCTTATACTTTTTCATAACTATAATTTAATAAATTAATATAATATAATGAATATTCCACAAATGCTGTATTTATTATATTATATATTATAACAATATAATAAATATTTCACAAAGAAAGACCATGTATTAGTTGTATTCAGCTTTGTATGGAGTTCAACTGGAGGACACTTTACATTGATATTTTTGATTTCTTTGGGGCTGCTCTCTTGGCATTGATGATTCTTTCCAGAATTTTCTAAACTGGATTTTAGAATCCAAGGGTTTTGTGTGTGTGAGTCTGTGTGTGGGGTTAATGGAGACTGTATACTCTATGAAAGGATACCCATTATGCATTAAGATTCTCCCTCTCTCTTTTCCTGTCTTATTGTCATCAGTATTTTTTGTTTGTTTGTCCGATGTTGCCGTTACTGATACCTGCTCCATCCGTGTGCTTATGGATGGTTTTGGCACCCAATTCCAGATTCTCAAGCTGTCTGTTTTAATTGCTAACAACAGTATATTAATCAGGTAGAAAATAGAAACAATTCTCCATTGACTGACCACTTATTTCATTAATTTGCTCTGTTAGATCTTGCCAGTATTTGTGTACCTTTACACAAGGGTAAAGGGTTCCTTTGGCTTTGCATTCTGTCCGGCCCAACCGTGATGTTTCCTTACAGTATTTTCAAAGCTTTACTGGACTGTGGTGTCATCTATAAATTATTTTTAGAGTTAATTCTCATACATATCCGTCTAAATCTAAGAAAGCTTTTTTGGCTCTAGATAAGTGTCTGGTGTCAGTAATGGACTGGATGAGGGTAAATAAACTGAAACTTAATCCAGACAAGAGAGAGGTGCACCTGTTCAGTCAAAAGGCAGGTCAGGGAATAGGGATGCAGCCTGTGAGGGGTTGCACTCCCTCTGAAACCACAGATGCACAGTTTGGGAGTGTCTGAGCCCGCATGCCCAGGATTCAGTGGAGGCCAGGAGTATATATTTGCACAGTTAAAACCCGTGTTACATCCTGGCTGAGTTACTATAATGTGTTCTTTGGAAGGTGTTCAGAAACTTCAGTGGGTCCAAAATGCTAGTGAGATTGTTAATGGGCTGGATGCAGGGATCACATCACCTTCCTGTTACAAGCATCTCCCCTGGCTGCCGATCTGTTTCCAGGCATAATTCAAACTGCTGGTTTTCACCTATAAAGCCCTAAATGGCTTGTGCCCCTACCTATCTCAAGGAAGGACTGTGTCTCCCGTTATGAGCCGGCCTGGAGGATAAGATCATTAAGAGAGACCTTTTCTTTAGTCCTACCACCTTCACAGGTATACTATTTGGTGGGGGCATGGGGGAGGGCCTTTTCTGGGGCTGCTCCCAGACTCCGGGACTCCCTCCCACAGGAGGCCAGACTGGCCCCGTCTTTGCTGTCCTTCTGCAAACAGGCAAAGACTTTTCTCTGCAGAGAGGTTTTTCCTTTCTGAGTCTTGAGCGGGGCGGAGTGTTGCACCTTGTTGCTTTGAATGTGTTTTTGGTGTTGATTACTATTTCTGTGTGTGACAGTTGTTTGATTCTTTCAAAAGTATTTGTATATATACTGTTTTTAGCTTTTAAATATTGTCTTTTAATAATGTAAGTCACTTTGGATCTTTTTCACTGAGAAAGGCAGGTAAAATATTTTACATCTCTCTCTCTCTTGCTGGTAATGGACTGTGGGCTGGGGAGGTCTAAAAATTGTGTTGTTGAGCACCATTGAATTGAGTATTTAAATATGTTTCTCAGGGTATATTTTGCCACTTCTGAGTGTCCTTATTTTGAATCTCTTAACCATATCATTTTGTGTCCTTTCTACTATCATTTGCGCAGCAACATATTTCTTTGAACTGTGTTAGTGGCTCTCAAAAATCTGTATTTTGTGCTGGGTTGGTTATTTTTTTCTTTTTGTTTTTTTTTCCTGTTTGTTTTGGTACAGCTGTAACTTGTGCTAAATGGTAACCAGTTGGCTTGTATGCTTTCTAGTTTTAAGTTTCACTTCCTATGTTTTGATAACATCTCGATAATACCTTTGATTACAGACTAGTCTTAAATGACTGATTAAAGTTAGGGATAGCCAAAGTATGAATCATGAACTGGATTGAGCTTCAAGGCCATCATATAGTGGATAGGGTGACCCGAGTTTGAATCCCCACTTGCCCATGGATACTCACTTGTGGGTGGGGGGGGGCACAGTTTGAATCCCCACTTGCCCATGGATACTCGTGGGTGGGTGGGGGGCACAAGTAAAACCAACCCTTAACTATCTCACTTATTTTGAAAGCCATATAAGAGTTGTTGTAATACAGGTGTGACTTAACACAGAACCAACTTCCTCCAGCCCCAAATGGGGGAAGGGGAAATAGGCAATTGTGATCCTAGAAATTTCTAGTGTTGCACCATTAGCAATGTTCCCACTATGTTGTGCGTGCTTGCCCAGAGCTCCATTGTGGTTGCTCATGGGCAGCCGGTTTGTTTGCTTCCCCTTTTCAAACGAAGCCCTGCCCACCCTTACGCACGCAGAGCGAGGCTTCCATACGGTGGGACTTAGAGGGAACTTTGACCCTGAGCCATTGTGGGCTATTTCCCCATCCCCAGGCCTATTTTAGGCCCAGGCATGCAACGGAGTGAGCGCCCGTCGCTTGTCCCAGCTCCCGCCAACCTAGCGGTTCGAAAGCATGCAAATGCGAGTAGATAAATAGGGACCACCTTGGTGGGAAGGTAACAGCGTTCCGTGTCTAAGTCGCACTGGCCATGTGACCACGAAAGACTGTCTTCAGACAAAACGCTGGCTCTGTGGCTTGGAAACAGGGATGAGCACCGTCCCCTAGAGTCGAACACGACTGGACAAAAATTGTCAAGGGGAACCTTTACCTTTACCTCCTTTTTCAAAATGCAAACTGACTGTGTGTGTCGGGGGGGGGGGCGGTTTCCAGTACTAGAAGCCCCTCCCCATTAATACTCAGGGAAGGTGGCCCTAGATGGCAATTTGTGCCCCCTAGAAAGGAACGTGTCTGTGATCAGCCACGTCTTGCTCCAGATACTTTTGCGTGAAGGAGGAGGCTCAGCCCCTGTTCTAGGAGGGGGGTGCTCTTGGAATTTGCCTGCCTTTGACTTGAGCCACCTTTCAGTTTTCCTAATTCGTGCTCTTTCCCGAACAAGCGTTGGCGGAGGTGGTTGCTCTAGCAACTAAGTCATATCTATGTTCAGTGAAATTAGGCCTTTATACCACCTGAGAACCTCATCCAGAACTTTGAACCACACAGCTGACGTGCCTTCTGCCCTGCAGGCTCTGCTTCTGCCCCCATAAGAGCCCAAGGCACCTCTGTCTTGTCTGGCATTTCTGCCCCACAGTGGCTTTCCATAGGTCTGTGGGAAGCCCACCAGCAGGCATGCCGGCAGCAACTCTCTCGTGCTTGCGCTCTCCAGCATGTGGCATGAGAAGGCATGCTTTCATGTAATAGTTAGGGTTATTTCTCATGACCAGTAGCTTTATTTCCGAGGAATTAGTTTAACTTTAAATTTATTTTTATTTTATATATCTTCCTTGTGTTGACAGCCATCACTGCTCTTTGGGGAAGTGTATTCCATGATTTTAACTGCAAGTTGTGTGATCAAGCAATTCCTTTTCTTGAATCGTCTTCCACCTTCCATCTTTCTTGGATGCCTGGCCTCTCGTATCCACTGGAGGCTGCAGAGCTCAGCTGGGCTGCTAATAAAAGACATTTTGGAGCTCACTCATCCAAAGGGTCCCCCTAAGCCGGAGGTGGCTGGGTGGCACAGAACAGCCGCAAGAACAAACGGAGCTCAGAAAGTTACACTTTAAAACGAGATTGCTGCAGTGCTTCCTTTCGGCAGTTAGTTGTTATTGTTGGTGTGATTGTGGAAGTCATTTCTTGTGTCATGAATGATTAACACATTTCTTTGACTTGAACGGGAGGCCGAAAATAAGGGAGGGTTCCCCCTGTATCCCTCTGGTGGCAAATTCTAACATCGCCCCTTGGAAGGACTTTTTAAAACCCCACAAAAGATAACACAAAATAGCATTTCCCTTGTTACTCACTTTTTTTTTAAAAAAAGGCTGAAATGTATGTCAAAATATCTTCCAAATAGCTTAAAGTGTAGGTACCTATGAGATAGTTCTAAAAACTTCTGTACCGGTGTAAGTGCCTGCCACATTACTTGTTTACCCAAAAGGTAGCTAGCTAGAGGTGAGTATGTTATTTGTAACAATGGCAAAAAGCTGCTCCCCATCTGTTTTTAGTTCACCAGGTATAATTTTCTGTGTCATTTGTGAAACTTTTGTTTGATACCTTTTCTCCTCGTGTAAGATTATTTGCTGTGAACTTACTCCTTGTCCTTTCGCATCAGAAACAGATGCCGCCCGGCCCAGTCGCTCTCATCCGTTGCTTGTGGAAAGTGCTGTCCCTGCTCACTGAGTTCCCTTCACCCAAGAGGGGCCCTTCCAGATGTTGTAGGAACCCCCCCTGTCAGCGCTTCCGTTGGGGAGGGGTGAGGGAGGTGGTCGTCCAGCAGTTTCAGGGGGCTGCCCATTTCTGACTTAATGCCGGTGTTATTTATCTCACCCTTGCTGTGGTCAAACCAGCTACATTCTGATCACCCTTCTGCACTCCACCCTGACACGCTTAAAATCTACAGATTTGGGGAAAGTAGCATCTTGCTGGGCTTCTCCATCACCCCTTCCCATGAACATCCTGCCTTTCTGAGTGGTTCTAGGGAGATGAGAAATGTACTGACAACTTTGTGATGTTGTGCTAGAGCTTGACGCAAGTATTTCATATTTAAAACTACATAGCTATTTAAAGAACAATCAGTAAAATTGGAATAGTTGGAAAGATGGAAAACCTTCCTTTTAAGGCTGTTTTTTTTTTTTGGGGGGGAATCTGTCCATTTTGAATTCGAGTCAGCACTTGGCCATTGGTGGTTGCCAGTTGACGAGCATGCATACATGCGCCTGCACTTAGATGCCAGTCATTTCTTACAATTATTGACTTGATTATGTGGTTGCAATATAACTGATCTCCTCCCCTCCCTCCCTCCCTCCCTGAAGTGAATAAAGGACATGGAAAAATACATCCTTTGCCAAGAGACCTATGTACAGTGGTGCCTCGTTTGACGATGTTAATTCGTTCCAGCGAAATTGCTGTAGAGCGAAAACATCATCAAGCGAAATAAGACCCATTGAAACGCAGTGAAAACCGGTTCAATGCATTCCAATGGGCTGAATAACTGCTTGTCCAGCGAAGATCCTCCATACGGCAGCCATTTTCGGTGCCTGTATAGTGAGGAATCTGTCCTAGAAAATTGGGGGGGGGGGCATTTTGAAACCCGACGATCAGCTGTTTGCTGATCGTCATAAAGCGAAAAATCAGTTCCCGAAACGCGACCGATCAACGTGAAGCGAAAAAACCCAATCTAAACATCGTTTTGCGATTGCAAAAATTTCAGCGTTAAGCGGATTCATCATTAAACGTAATCGTCCAGCGGGGCATGACTGTATAGATAGAAATTCAGTGTTGTGTTCCCTATAAAGTACTAGGCAGGAGCAGTGAGATGGACTCTCCCATTCACGTACATCTCACATACCAAAATATTTCTTTTCAGATTGCCATCCAGAATCCATTAGTCTCTGAAAAGATGGAATTGTCAGTCCTATACAAAGAATATGCCGACGATGACCATGTCTATCAACAGAAGATCAAAGTAAGTAAGGGAGCCGGTCGCTTGCATCCACCTGTACAGATTGGAAAGACCAACAGCAACAGTGAGAGGATTGGAGCAGGCTTGGAATACAGCTTCAATCATCTACAGGCAGCACTGTGTTAGCTAGGAAGGATGACAGGCTGTAATCACATACACAGTGAGGTTACCGGCTGCATTAGAACCTTTTCTCTGCATTGAAACGTTAAGAATGTTGGCCTGCAAAGCTGGGGCAGGGAATCACTAAGGGAGGGTCTGAGTAAAGATATATGAAACTGAGGACAGTGTGAAGGAGGTGGATAAGAATCTGTTAGGCTCATAATATTGTAATTGGAAGTTGCCCAGTGGAACAGACAGGTCAGTAGATTAGGGACAGACAGAAGTACTAGTCTTTGCACACAGCATAATAAATTCACAAAAGTTGTCTCTGTGCAGTGTAGCTGTACGTGGATTTTAAATTGGGCTTATATGAATGTGTAGCTGGCCGGATAGCTCAGCGAGTTAAGTGTCCGGCTGCAGAGCCAAAGGTTGGGACTCCAATTCCCCTCCGTGCCTTCTGGGAAAGGAGCCGGCCTGTGTGGGCTTGGGCAGTTCAGTTCTTAGAATTGTTGTTGATCACAAGGCTGTCATTCAGATGCAGATGCAAAAAAAGGCAAATCCTATTTTAGGCTGAATTAACCATAGTATCGTCTCCAAATCAGGTGTGCTAGTTTCCCTCTATGCAGCACTAGCTAACCATAGTATCGTCTCCAAATCAGGTGTACTAGTTTCCCTCTATGGAGCACTAGCTAGGCCTCATCTTGAGTGAGTACTGTGTCCAGTCCTGGACACTACATTTTAAGAAGGATGCAGACAAACTAAAGCTGGTTCAGAGGAAGGCAACAAAGATGTTCGGCGGGCTGGAAACTCAGCCCTGTGAGGAAAGACTGAAAGGACTGGGCATGTTTAGTCTTGAGAAAAGAAGAGTACTTGAAAGGTTGTCATTCAGAGGAGGGGCAGAGTCTGTTCTCAATCATCACAAGAGTGTAGAACCACATAATAATGGACTCAAATTACAGGAAACCAGACCATGGTTGAATTTCAGGAAAAACTCCCTTACTGTTAGAGCAGTACAACAATAGAACCTGTTACCTCAGGAGGCGGTGAGTGCTCCAACACTGGAGGCATTCAAGAGACAACTAGGCAGTTGTCTTGTCAGGTATATTTTGACAATTTCTTTGTTGAGCAAGGGATGGATTTGATGGCCTTAGAGGCCCCTTCCAACTCCGTTATTCTAGGATCCTATAAGGTTAACAATAGGGCTGGGGAACATGTCATCCTTTTTATTGTGTTGGGCTTCCTCTCTCCTCATTCCTCACCCTTGACTGCGTTGACTAAAGCTGAGGAACATTGCAGTCCATGTGTTCCCCAGTCCTGAACGGAGAGACGCCTCAATTCCAGAGACAGAGTTTACCTGAATCCCTGTTGCAGTAGGGGTGAAAAGTAGGGCAGGGTGATACTGTTTGGACGTTGAGCATCTGAGCTTTCTGGGGAAATGGGTCTTGGCACTGTTGGGAAGAGGGTGCAGGATTTGTTGGGAGCCTTGGCCAAATCCAGAAGGACTCTTTTGATGCTCTCGGACTCAGGATAGGAAGAGGCTGAAATATTGGAGGAAGATTGCTGTGGCTTTGTGGTTGATAGCCGTGTGCCAATGCTGCCAATGGCTGTAAAAGACTTTGTAACATGCTTAAAAATGAAGTTCTGGTTGAATTCTAAGCTAGCCTATGTTCAGATCTGTGTAGGGCAGGCTTAAGTGGCCTACGGAAGGCAGCGCCAAGTCCAGCTGTGGGCTGCTGAACTCCTTGGACACGAACCCATCTCTGTTCCTCTCATTTCTCCCACACAGGATCTGCTGAAGAAGTATTCATATATACGGAAGACAAGACCAGACGGCAATTGTTTCTATCGGGCGTTTGGCTTTTCCCACCTTGAGGCTCTGTTGGAAGACGGCAAGGAGCTACAGCGGTAGGACATGGGAGGGAGAGGACCCCAGTGGCCCAACACTTTGGACCTGTTGGCGCTTGCAATAGAGTAATGCTGGTGCGGGCTTGTGTTTTGTCTTCTTTGTTTTGTCTTTATTATTGCCCGTAGCTTCAAAGAGGTGGCTGCCAAAAGCAAGGAAGTGTTGGTCTCGCAGGGCTTCACGGAATTCACCATTGAGGACTTCCACAACACGGTAAGAGCCCCCTCCCGCGCCCTGAGGCCTAAGCCTTTCCCAACCTGGCCTTCTCCAGATGTGTCGGGACTACAGATCTCGTCATTCTTGGCCAGCAGGGCCCTGGGCAGTGTTGACTGGATCATAGCTGGATCATTGAGTAGACCCAAACGCATCTGGGAGGCCTGAGGATGGAGACTGTTACTTTAGCAGAAAGAGGAATGTGTGGAGTCTGGGTCAAGAACCAGGCAAGACATTGCTGAGGTCAACAGAATGTGGGAGTAAAGGTGAATGACCTTCAAAACTTCCGTAAATCTTTTGTTTTAGTAGCCATTGTTCTGGAGTCTGTTTTTGTTGTTCGAGTTTTGTGTCTTCTCCCCTTACCAGTTACTGGCGGTTCTTAAATCTGTTTGTGGTCCTTTTAAATGCATGTTCTCTGCAGAACATGATTCTAGCCAAATTATACACCCGGGTATCAAAAATCCAGTGAAAAGTTATGAAGCTGTGTAGCTAAGAGTTGGGAGGCCCTGTGTTTGAATGCTTGACTTTCTCTCACCATCGTTTCTCGTGGACTAAATGGTATTTAGGCCTAGCTATGCTGGCACAGAACAAACGCCGTATGTTTTGAAGGTGATCTGCCTCAAGTTAAGAAATGCCGTAGGCAGTGTCTGTTGCATGCTGGGTTTTGTGACTCAGTGTGCAGCTGAAAATGTCGGCAGTGATTTCTGAACTTGGGACAATTTGTCTCGAAACGTCACCCTGTTTGCATAGCTGCTCAAGAGGATTTGGGCCTTATCATAGGCATAGTTCAGTGGGTGCTGCAGGAGGTCCCAAACCTTTACTCAGACCAGTCTGTGGTCAGCAGTAATCCCCTTTCATGGTGACAGGATCTTTTCTCTCCAAATTCATATTGTGGTCTGTATAGAAGCCACATGTATTTTATTTTTACACCACGTTGCTTTTTCTGGCTCTGCCCGCTCGGAATATAGAATGTTGATATTTTGCCATCTCCTGGAACTCGTGGCGGAAGAAGAAGATGCCTCCCTAACCCAGACATTGGAAATGTTTTGCAATCCAAGTGAAAGAGGTTCAAATAGGCACAACTATAAACACCTGGCGTGTTTGAGCAGTAAGGAAGAAATGGAGGCTTGAACCTTTGAAAAGGCTGCATTCTCTGAGACCATGAGAAATCACGCCCTTTATGCTTGCGGGTTGGTGGGGGTGGCTTTTGTGGCTCTACACGTGGTCTTGGAATGGAGCTTCCGTCACTCTCCACTGGGTCGGCTGGTCTAGGCTTGGGTGCAGAGCCTGTCCACCTCTGGTCTAGAGGGAGCCCCTGCTCATGTGTAAGTGAATGTTGGGTCAAGAAGTCCTCATTTCTTGTCTACCCTCAGTGTGCTGCCAATCACCGGGGAAACACGAGATTTTCCTTAGCAGGGCTTCCCTCCCCCCCCCCCCTTTTTTATTTTTAATTTTTACTCTCTCTGCACCCGGCATCCTTCATCACAATCCAGCTGGGGTTTGTCATGGGTGGAAGGACAATGTGCCGTCCCTTTTTGCATTTTGCTGGCTGTGCGCCAGGCCCCACGTGCCACTGCCTGACTCCAGCCAAGCTATCTCGGGCCCACTACGGTGAACATGTGGAAGAATGGCTCACCCCGCTTCTGCCATTGCCTTTCCACAAGGACTCAACCCAACAGAACTGCCATAGGCTGGCCCTCAGTTCTTAAACACCTGCAGCCCTTTAGCCTTTTCTCACAGCAAAACTCCTCCAGGCCGTTGGGAAGGGTGTTTGACCGCAACTGTGTTATTTCTATCCAAAGGGACAAGCTGTTTGCGCCACCCACCCTGGACCCTTTCCTTTAGCTTTGGCTGCTGTTTTCCTTTGCAGTTCATGGATCTCATAGAGCAAGTGGAGAAGCAGACCACTGTGTCAGACCTGTTGGCCTCCTTCAACGACCAGAGCACCTCAGATTACCTTGTCGTGTACTTGCGGCTCCTGACGTCGGGATACCTGCAGCGTGAGAATAAGTTTTTTGAACACTTCATCGAGGGAGGACGCAGCATAAAGGAGTTCTGTCAACAGGTCAGGAGGACCGGGGGGTGGGCTGGGAAGGGAAGCCTTCAGGGTGGAGGGGATGAGCCCCGAGGCCGATCTGGCCCTTCAGCTTTTTCTCGACTCTCAAAGAGGATGTTCCTCACGACCCAACAATGTTCCAATGTGGAAATTGTAAACGTGCTGTCTTCCAGAATTTCTGATCATTGGGGAAAAAAAAGAGAAGAGCAGGATGATATGTGCCCAGCCTGCTGGCGGAAGACCCTCAGGCAGGCCTTCTAGTTCCCGGAGAGAGAACCTCCTTTGTGCACAGCTGGCCCCTTTAGTGGTAGAAAGGCTTTCCTGCTTGAGAGTCCCCCCCCCACTGCTCTAGAGGCCTGGTGCTGATCAGGCCAAGCCTGTGAGTTCTAGGCCCAGTGGCCTTTTGGAGGTGGAGGCTTCCTCCTGTCAAGAGGGCTCGTCATTCGATGGTAGAGCTCCTGCAGTTTGCACACAAGGTCCCAGCGTCCCCAAAGGGGCCTGAGCCGAGATAGCTGTGCAAACGTGCTGGGAAGCCTTGGCTGTCCCAGGAGGAAAGCACTTACATTAGTGGACTGACCGGGTGTAAAAGGCAGCTCTCTTGTGTTCTGGTCGGTCATCATTGCATGGAACATAAGCAGAGCCACCTCACCTAAGTTACCTGCCTCGTCCAAGCCCTCTTAATATTTGGTAGTGGGAATGCTGTGCCTCGAATGGTTTAGTGTAGGCCTTAGTCATAACTTGATGGGCAGGTTTACCGTGGACTCTATCCAGCCTTGGTTCTGTCTTCATCAGTATCTGGCACAGAGACCGGGGAGCCCTCGGATACACACACAAGGCTCTTGTGCATTTTGTGTGGTTGTGAGATTCCCCAAGCCAAGCACAGAGTAGAGTAGGTGGCCTCCTGGGAATTGGCCTGATGACATTTTTTTACCGTCACGTGTGTTGTTCCTGGGATGACAGGATTGCTGAGGTGCTTGGAGCGTGGCCCATGGGAGCATGGGAAGCTCAGTGCCAAGGGGGTTACGGGGCGCAGTCGGGCTGGGGTGGGCAGCCCCTGCGGGCGAGACCTCACCCTGCCTGTGCCTGCCCTCTCTCTCTCTCTTGGCAGGAGGTGGAGCCCATGTGCAAAGAGAGCGACCACATCCACATCATCGCGTTGGCCCAGGCCCTCAACGTCTCCATCCTCGTGGAGTACATGGACCGGGGCGAGGGCGGGACCACCAACCCCCACGTCTTCCCTGAGGGCTCGGAGCCCAAAGTGTATCTACTGTACAGACCAGGACACTACGACATCCTGTATAAATAGAGGGCGGGGCAGCCTGGCTGGTGAGCCACGCCTCTCTCTCTCTCTCTCTCTCTCATATCTTCCGTCTTGCCCACGTTTCCCCGCCCACCCGCCGGGCAGCATCGTCTGTGGTTGTAAATGGTGATCGCTCTTGCTGACATCTCGCTCACTTGGTTTGTTATTATTATTATTATTTTCTCCTTTTGTTGTTACACTTACACACTTCTGTGTTTTATTAAAGGGGATGCCGGTGAAACAGTCTTCCTTGCTCGTAGCCTCTCCCTGGTGCTTATTTTTTTTTGGGGGGGGGTCAGTGGACCTCCTCCTCTCCCTTCTAGGGCAGCCCCTGGGAAGCAGAGCGTCTGGCGGCTGATCACCCTTTGGTACAAGCCCCTGCTTGCAAAGTACGTGGCAGCCAATAATGGTCTTTTGAGAGATTCCTTGGAAGGCATCAGCTACTTCTGATGCTCAGCAGAGAGTACGTGGCAGCCAATAATGGTCTTTTGACAGATTCCTTGTAAGGCATCCGCCCACCCTTGCAGAGTCTGGCAGCTGCGACGCTGGAGGCCGGAGCTGTTTTAAGCGGCAGGACCCTCGCCCTCAGGCTTGCAAAGGTGACCTCTGGGGAGTAGGCCCCCTCCACCACACCCCCATAGCCCCCATCCAGGCTTCCTTGCTTCTGTCTAACTCTCTGCCCATTTTTGCACCACTTGAGGGATGCAGAGGAAGTCTGCGCCTGTTACTTATTTCTGACCAAATTAACTGGCATAATTTTCAAGTTTAGGATTAGGATTTGCTCAGCAGGCAACCGTCCCTTTTTTAATTTTGTTTCATCTCTGAAGAGTGCAATTTGTTGCAGGGGCTTTCCCCAGCAAGGGGCAGTAACGTCGGAGCCTGTTTGAGCCTCTGACGACCCAGAATCACAGGACTGCTGCTATTGCTCGGTTGTGGGGCCACCCTGTCAGTCTGGGCAACGGACTCCATATTTCGTTAAGCAGCTCTCTCCAAACGGGAAGCTGCTCATTGCAGGATCCAGAAGGAGCCCCTTGTTTTTGCTTCTGATGCTCAGCAGAAGGAAGGAATGGGGAGGATTTGCCCTTGCAGAGTTTCAGGACAGACTTGACTTGGGAGGTGGAAGGGAGACAGGCATCTACGTCACCATAGGCTTCCCAACGTGAGAAGGTGCCCATCCATGCTTCCTGGGGGGTGGGTTTGGGGGGTTAGGATAAACCTTGTGGTAGAATCATTTTTCAGTTGTTCTGCATCAGGCTTCAGGGGTTTTGTGTTACATTTCTCTGCAGGAGGAAAACTGTGCCTGAACTCCTGTTGTCCAACTTGTCACATGGTATTTGGCCCTTTCTAGTATTTGTATACCTATTGTTTTTAGCTTTAATATTGTCTTTTAATGATGTTGGCTGCCTTAGGCCCTTTCTTACGAGAAAGACGGGGTAAAATTTAAAATAAACAAACTTCATGCAGTGTAAGGCATCAGCCGCTGTTGTTTTTCAGGTACTTGAAGGTTCCAAGACCACAGGATCGGGTGGGGAGAATGATCTTAGGTTTCTGAAAATTGCTCACTGCCAGGATTTTTGGAAATCAAAGGCTCATTCTTGCAGCCCGCGGTTCCCAGCAGCTTCCCTTTGACAAAAAGGAGCCATAAGAAGCTCTGGAGCCTTCCTGGAGGTTGGCATTGGAAACTTTCAATTCTTGAAAAACATCGCCGGGCTCACGTGGCCTAAAGTGGCACAAGAGGATTTCAGCCCATCTGTCATAAAGGGGGTGAGGCTAAGAACTTGTTCTCCTCTGTACTCTTTTAAGAGTGTGTCCCTTCTAGTTGCAATCACGTGTAGCAGCTTTTTTTGCCCTAAACTTCTACTCTGGCAGATTTTAGCAGATGCTTGTTACTCTGTGACATAAACCCTGCCTCAGATTTCTGTATGCACTTTCTCTCCTTCCCTCTTCTCTTACCCAGCCTTGCTCTTTAAGTTGATCCATATTCTATCCGTGTCTCTTCCTGCTGGTGGTGGCAGTCTCTCTGTGGAGCTTTGTGTATGTGTGAGTGAGTGAGAGACTGAAAGAGAAGAAATTGCTATTTGGATTCTCCTGAAGAGATAATGCAGGGAATTAATTAATACAGTCCTGCTTAGGAGCAGCTGGAGAGGGTGGGAGGCTTGGGCGGGTGGTTTGCCTTTTCCCTGCTGTCGAGATCGCTTTCCTGTTACTCTTGCTTCCCTTCCCTGTTGTTCGCTTTTTTCCCCCTGCTAGTTCCAAGGCTGGAGCAAGAAGCTACTGTACCTGCTTGCTTTTGAAGTGCCAGGAGCTTGAGCCAAAGATGGAGAAAGGATTGCTACTTGTCTCGGGTCCAGCGAGCCTTGCTAGTGTTCTGCTAAAGCAGAGGGGGCATGCTGGGTGAATTTTTTTGTTATTATTATTATTTTTAGCACCTCTCTCTCATTTTGCCCCTCCAGTGGCTGAGTGGGGAGTTCTAGGCAAGAAATAGCTGCTCAGGATGTTACAAAAATTGGTTTATTACACTTCAAAACTGTTCCGTGCCTTTTGGCCAAAGCAATCGGTGGCCTTTTTCAGGGACAATACTTAAGCAATCTGTAATGAAGCTCTCCTTCTGTCTGGTTCCCAGATCCACTCAATTTCTGAGGATAAGATGGGGGAAAGATCCAATACAGTAAGAGATCATGTACAAATATTCAGCCTTCCATCTTTTCCTCAGTAGTTAAGTGGAGCCGAGAACCATTCGAAAGAGAGTTTCATTTCATGTTGCTAAATTACTGCCTCTGAAGGCAGCCTTAGATGGCTTTGTCTGAAATGCTTTAGGCAGGTGTTAAAGTGGAATAAAACTATTTTTCTTACCATCCTGAGAATTTGCCTCCCCCCCCCCCCCCCAAATTTGGATCCACTGGATGTTACCAGTTCCGTTCAGCCTCCCTCCTCCTTGCACCCGGCACTCTCTTGTGCCAAGCCCTCTTCCCCTTCCTCCGTGCAAAGGGACCGCTTGCGACTGAGGTTGGTCTCTCTCCCCCCCCCCCGCCAGCCCCATAAATTTCAGAAAAGGCTCAACTGGGCTTATGCAGGCATGTTTTTTATTCCAGGATGCAGCCATTTCCAGATGTTACACTAGCCACGGGGGTGTTTTTCCTCCCCCGCTTTGCTTCTGCTCCCCTCCGGTGTCTTGTTCTGCAGGGCTCACAGGCGGGAAGGTATGGGGCCTCCGGCGGCAGCATCTGGTGGGAGGAAAGAGCAAAAGGTCAGGCCTCGGATGGAAAGACTCCCCTTTGCCAGGACCCCAGGATGCTTTATGAGTTGCAGTCACTTTTGGGGCCTATGGGTCCCTCCCTCCGCCACCACCACCCCAGCCAGCCAGGGGGAATGGCCCTTTGTTTTGGGAGTTGTAGTCTTGAAGACATGACGCTGCCTCACCCGCCAGGCTCTGAGCAGGACCTGTGCTTGGCCCCTGCATTTCCTTGGCAGGGGAGGGGAGGAGGCCAGCAGAGGCGCAGGCGAGCAGGAGCCGAGCAGAGCCAGGGAGGGAAGTTAAGGAGCCGGGCACCAAACAAGCCTTCGGTTAGTGAAGGAAAGGAGGGCTGGCTCTCCAGCTCCCTCCACACAGCCGCGGCCTGGCCTGGCTGGCGCTGCCACCTTGGCACCATGCAGAAGACGAGTCAGACGTTGTCTTGGTTCTTGAGTTGCATTTCGTCTTCCACTCCCTGCCGTTTGTCCCCCCCCTTGCTTTTGCAGAGCCAGGCGGCAGCCTCCATCCCCCCCTTCTCCCCCCCCCCCTTCGCTTCTTGTAAGACCTGCGTCTTCCCTGGTTCTGAGCCTCACCTTCCAAGGTGGAAAAATCCTTGCCTCTCCATTGGGACTCCTTCGGGTCCCTAAGACCTCGTTCCCTTCTCGAACAGGAACACAAGCCTGGCTTGCGGTCCACTGTCTCGATGGTCCTTTGCTTTTTACACCACCTCGACCCCCCTTCTGCTCAACCCGAGGAGGGGGGGCCTCTCTTCACTGCTCTGCACCTCCTTCCCAAGATTGCCAAGAGGACCCAGGAGTCCTGGCTGCATCAGCCCCTTAACGTTGGGGGACCCTGTGGGCAAAAGCACCCGACTCTAGAATTTTTTTAATTTTTTGCTCATAAATTGGTTTGTGGGATGAGACTGGATTTCTTTTGTATAAGGACCGTGCACTTCGGTGTGTAGAGATGACCTGATATCCTCCACCCGTTGGTGCTTGCCATTTTTAGTGGAACATGAAAGAGCCCCCCCCCCGAGCAACATTTGGGTGGGAAGGGTGTGAGTCAGAAAAGGGTACAGTGAGGAGGGGTGTGACTCGGCGCCCCAGTCGTTGTTACAAGAAAAACTGGAGCCCCTTAGAGCTGTTTCTAAGCAAAACAGGAAAAATGCCACAAGACCCCCCATCCTCGATCTCCTGGCTCTTAGGTTGCTTGGGATGAATGAAATACAAGTTTAGCAAGGGAGGGGAGCTCTGGTTAGTAGCATCGGAGGTTGCAAAAGCAGCCCATGCAGAAAATCCCACGCCATATACTGTGCACGGTGCAGGGAAGCTCTTACCCCTTTCTGAACAAGTGTGGGTCACGCTGGAAATGAGAGGACAGGAAGGTGAAGATCCCCGTCCAGGCCTTTCCCCGTCACCCTCCCCGAAGACCTGGCGCTTGGTGGAAGCCCAGAGGGACCTCCGCGGATGCCCGCGGGCAAGCACAGCGTCCTGGGAGACTCACCCGTGGGGAAGAAGCGGGGCAGCTTCTCCTTGTAGATCTCGTCGTCTTTCTCCAGGAAGACGCAGATGATGATGCGGTCCACCTGCCGGCAGGACGGATCGCAGTCAACAGAAGGCAAGTTCTGCCCTGTGACTTGCTGTGCTAGGCCAGCAGAGGTTGAGGATGAGGGGGACATTTCCCGACCACACACATCATGCTCTCTCGCTTGCTTGCGCTCTCTCTTTCTTTTCTTTTGGCAAGGGGGCCTCGGGAGAGGCCTGGAGAGAGAGAGCCCTGAGGAGGTACTTGGTGCCTCCCTGTTTTGAAATGCCCGAAAGCCTGCCCGTCAGCTGTCTTCCCTGCAGGGTGTTACAAAGATGTCTCTCCAAGGGCTTCTCCCTTCTGTTTTTCCACGCGAGGCCAGGGCTGATGTCTAGAATGGGAACAACGTGAGCAGCGCAGAGAGCAAAAGCAAGAAGACCCCCCCCAGCCCTCCCCTGTTCAAGAGGCCAGGCCAAGCAACGCAAGGCCCCTGGGCGCAGCCTGCTCGGCCACCTCCACCCCGTGCACCAGCCCCCTTTACCTTCTCCTTGTTGTCCTCTAGCCACTTGCGCAGTGTGTTGAGCACAATCTCAGCAGCGGCATCATTTGGGTATCCTGCAAGGAGGGGGGGGGGAAATCCTGAGGTTTTGTAGAGGATTCCCGTCAGGAGGCCAGGAACAGCCAGTCACTGCTGCTCCCCATTCGCCTCTCCTTCTTTGGTTTGTACTTACCAAACACGCCGGTGGAAATACAGGGGAAGGCCTGTCGGGATAGAAAAGGGGCATTAGGGAAATGTCCTCTTACGGCTATGAGAGCAAATTAAAGGCAACTGATGACCCACTTGAGAGGAAAGGGAGAGTCTTCAGATGCCAAAAAAGAGGAGTTTATTCAGTAAAAGAGTCCTGCATCATTTTGTGGTTTTCTTGATGCACAAAACATTAATCCTACAGAGATTTGGCCGCCTACTTTTGAAATGTCATGAAGTGAGAACTCTGTGTGAGCACATCTAACTCTGTACTTTTCAAATTGTACAATTAAGAGATCAAAGATCTTGGGCAGCAGCAACAGCTCTTGAAACCCCCGTCTTCAACCATGAAAGGGTTGGGTGCCCTGTTGCTTTGCTGCTTCTGGTCCTGCTCGTTTTCAGCTAGCCAGCCCAGGTGTGGAAGAAGGTGGTGAGTCATGACCTCTGCGCATGCCCAGGAGCCTCCACCACTGCCAACTCTGAGAGAGGCTAGGGAAGGAACAAGCCAGATTAAGGCAGGATTGTGCAAGGCCTCATCCTTCATAGCTGCCGATCGCTATCCTCCCAAGTCGACAGCTGCGATTCTATCTTTCATACTGAGCCGCTCTTTTCTGAGCTCCATCCCTTTTCTCCGTCAGGGACCAGGAGAAGTGGAAGACAAGGACCGTGTGCTCCTTACATCATCAGGAAGGAACACAGAATTTAACACAGAGGCAGCCGTTGCTTTTGGGCACGGGGGGAAAAGTTTAACGTCTCCCACTCTATGCAGGTTCTCAAGGGAGAACTGTGCAGCGTGGCTTGTTCTCCTCCTGGTCTGCTCCCCCTCCCTCCCCACCAGGCCCATTTACCCCCCAGCATCCTGGCTCTGCTAGTGGCCGGCTTTGCACTGCAAGAAATCCCACAAGCAGGAAGGGGAGGTGATTCTTTTAGCTGCCTGCTTTTGCTCCTCTGGTCCCACCCTGGCACATACGCGCGGAGGTTGGACTGTGAGCTATTGTGTGGTTAGGATGCCCTTCTGGCAGATAATCAGATTAATTTGTTTTAGCCACAGGTCTTCATGGTAATGACATATGTTTGTACTAGAACCGCAAAACAGGGACTCAGGATCAAAAGTATCAAATCCTTCATGCAGAAGACACGATTAAATCAGGCTGTGTGAACTTTAAAAGGTACCCAGAGTGACAGATTAAGATGCGCGAGACCTGCATTCAAGTCTCTGCTCAGCCAGATAAATGCACGGGAGGTGTCACTGGTAAAACCACTCCTTAAATATTTCAGTACGTTGAAAATGCTGTTGGGATCCCTGTTAAGTCAGATGCAACTTCACAGCATGTAGCACACTTGAGCTCTTGCTTTAGATGCACTGAACATACTGTAACAGTCTTGCTTTTACATTTATCTACAGCTATCAGGGTGTGTGTCATCCCCCTCCCCCCCCGAGAACTCAGGACTCCTGGTTTTAGTTCTTGTGGGCAAGAGCCTCTGGCGCCCTTCTTGTCCCAGGGCTGAGATTGAGTCCACCTCAGGATAATCATCTGCCTTGGGGTCCCAGGACAAAGACTTGCATTGGAGTGGGCAAGGTAAAGGTTCCCCTTGACAATTTTTGTCCAGTCGTGTTCGACTCTAGGGGGCAGTGCTCATCCCCGTTTCCAAGCCATAGAGCCAGC